TATCTAATCACATCATGTCACCCCATCCTCAGTCTCTGCATGCCCAAACTTCTACCTATGCCAGCAGTCAGGGATACAGCTCTCACCAGAATGAAGTTTCTTGCTCTAATGCAAACATGGGGTCTCCAGCCTCCTTCCCGAGAAAGGCTTTACTGCCTTGACGGTACCAATTTTAGACAAATCAGAGCCACGCACCATGTTGGCTATTCTGCTCTCTCCAGTGTTTAGTTCCCAGGTGTTGAAAGGCAGCACCGTAACTGGGCTGCAAAAAATATGCAGTAACACAGAGGAACACTGAGATGAGCCCCTGCCATTATAAATATCTCACCTACAGAAGAAGGGATCTTTTTTCCCTTTGCTTTCAGTGGTAGGTGCCAGCTGCACGGCCTCTGTGTTCAAGGTTGGCATTTCGAATACTGTGTGCTTTCACTAACCAAGCTGCACTTGGAAAACTGCAGTTCTTCAGCCACATAGCAAAGAAAACAATGTTTTATTGTGTTCCCACCCACAGCTAACAACACCAACAGGGCAGACAAACAAAATCTGCTCCTTGCTCTCACATTCCTCTTCCTCCAGTTCCATTAAATGGCAGAAGAGGTCATTTTTTTTCCTTTTCTCCCCCAAGTGGTGCTTAGCCTATGTGGCTTCATAGAGCAAAGGTTTTCCATAGGCCTGAAATCAAGCCACAACTCTGCCACAGGCATCTCTAGGAGTCTTGTGTGTCCATTACCCTTCCGTAAAAAAAATGGAATACTCCAACTTCCTTCCCCTCACGCCTCACCCCCTGCCTAGTGTCTATCTGTATATTCTTTGATCATACACTGACCAGCACATTAAAGCATGATGTGATTGGAGCATCTTTTATCATTTATATCACTGTAAGTATCCATAGGTGGATAAAACAGATGGGAAAGAACTGTGAGAAGACTGTGATTAGCATAATTGCTAGTGATCACATCAGACAATCTGCGTAACACAGTCAAGCATTTTTATAAGTATTGCTAGGGAGATTAATAAGAAAATCATCACTGGGAGAGCCACTAAAGCAGAAGCTATATTTTTCTGGGGGTTATTTTGGGGTTCCTTAAAGGACTGAAATGTACCAAAATTCTCAAGATTATTTGTATGACAGCTACACAAAAGGAGAAGCAAGTACAAAGCCCTTCATTGCCCTCTCACATTTTACTGTGGTCTGTGACCACCTTACAGGTGGTGCTCCCAGCATTTTCCTGCATGTATCTGGTCCGGACCTGAAGACATCTGGTGAGCAGAACCAGAGGAAATGGGGACAGAGAAGAAGGAATTCTACAAGTGCCATCACGATAGTCATTAGGAGATTTCCTTTGAGAAAAAAAATTATAAAAGGAAAAAAATCCAAAGAAAATCAGAATAAACTGTATCCATCTTAATGCTTAAGAAACAAGTTTTGTGCAGCTCATCCGGAATGGGTCAAAGCAGTCTGCAAAGAGCTGAAGGGCAGGAGGAAGATGTGTGTAAATCCACTAGCCAAGTGGAGGAAGTCTGAGCTTGTCATGTTTTGCCTCTTTTTTACTGTAAATAGAGGTACACAACAGGGCATCTGCAGCAGAGTGGGGGGAAATAACCACATTAAGGTCCACACATGAGCTTAAACACAAAAACCTAAGAGACACAAATTGAAAATACCCAGTCATCAGGTGTGGTGTAAGTCCTTGGCACTCCCACTGGCTTGCTCTTTGAACTAGGACATCTCAGCAGCACTCTTGCTCATCCCATGCTGTCTGCAATGTATCAGGAGAAGCTTTTATTTCTCACCCTGCATGACAAGTGCCAATAACAACAGGGTCCCAATACGAGCTGGGCTGCTGGGTGTTAGTGCAGTATAAGTAGCTATCATGCTGGCTTCAATAACAGAGTTCAGTGAGACTTCCATTATACAATACTGAGTCATTTTTTTGTGAGAAGCCTCTGACATTCATCTCGAAGAAAGCCCCAGCCTTGCACATGTGTCTTTTCACTTGGTCCATGAAATTCCTTCATGGTTTAGGTAAGATATAAATTGTGGGATTTGTATATCCAGCTCTACCCAAAACTTTTCCAGATTACACTCCTAAGGAAAATTTGGCAGAAAAAAATGACATACTAAAATAATAAAATGTACAAAGAATAGTAAGTATGAGCTTTCTATGGCAAAGTCTGTGCAAAGTAGAAGCAGACACTACAGGGAATGCAGCTGGTTAGAATCAGGTTCCCCCTCTGATGTTTTGCTCCCTGAAGTATACTCCTCAGGCTCTAACCAAAGCAGAATCCACGTGGGCAGGACACATGCATGACTGCTCCCTAAATGTGCACACAGGACCCCTGAATCATCCTCCATGCTTGGGGAAGTAAGATTTTTCTTTCTATGAACAAATCTGCTTCATTCTGCACCCACATGACTACAGTAGCCACTAGTCAAGCACTTGAAACCAAGCAGCATTTATTGTGCATGCAATGAGGGTTCTAGGTTTCAGGTTTTACCAGTTATTCACAATAGCAGAGTTATGACAGTAATTCCCAGCAGCATCTGTATTATCCTTTTCATTTCCTCTTCACCTTGTCATTTCTTAGACAGAAACACAAATCACCACCTTCTGTATATAGATTACTTAATATCCACTTCAGTCCATGGCAATATCTCTATTTCTGCTTTGATTCACCAACATCCGCCATGGTCTTTTTTCAGTCCCTTTCTGGACTGTGTGAGCTTTCTCTTTGCATTTCCTCACCAGCTCCCTTTTCTTTTTGAGTATCAAGCATGTGATATGACAACACTTCACCTTACTTTTTTAACCTTTAACAGAACTGCCCCCCCCCCCCGCCCCGTCACTGAGCTACAGTTGGCTTATGATTGACATAAGCATCCTCCTGCTGTTAGATTTACAAGCGGATACCCTCATGACCTCCCCATGCTGACCATCATCTTGTCTTAGTTAAAAATCTTAACACAAAACAAATACAAATCTAACTGCAACTACTAGTGAAGCTGGTACATGCATTTACACCACACATCTAACTTTAGCCATACACCTAAAATACTTGAAGGAAGAGCTTTCGTTTCACCATGTTTGTACAGGACTTATCTCTTTGCCACTGTGGAACAAAGCTGAGGCAAGAAGTGAAAGAAATATTGAAACGAAATATTTACAAGCTCTATGGCTAGAACTGACCCCATTTGTGCACATAACTTTTGATGGTCTTAATTACATGTTTACATACTTCCTTTTTATCCTTCAGAGAAAAGCTTCCCTATGGAGTGGACAGCACCGATACACAAAGAGACAGACATGACAGCTTAGAAAACTTCATTTATACAAGAGCCCTGACTTCTGAGTTTGATAAAGTTATTAACAACTCAGAGCATGCCTTTTCTAGTGAGAACATCAGGCAGCTAATCCAACAGCATCTGCATTCGCTGTAATTAATAAAAGCACATCCTACAACACCTTCTTGAAGCTTTTCTTCCATTATCCTTCGGAAGCCCCCAAGGAACAGCACACAGGCCTCTGAAGTCCCACAGATGTGGGAAATCTGCCACTGACTTTCCCACAGCACTGTCCCATGCCAAGGCCTGACCCTCTTGCTCCTCTGCCATACTGGCACTGGTCCAACAGCCACCTGCATCTGAGGGGTGGGAATCACAGAGAAGAAGAGAGGCAGCTCCGATGAGATTCCCAAACTCAAAAAAGCCCTGCTAAGCGGCACACTCCCACTCTCCCTATGTGCATCTTAGCACTGCAACCTCTTCACATCTCACGAGCTAGCGTGGAACAGATGCGTCCCCCCGTCAGGAGGCAGCAACACCCCTCCCTTCTCACATGACTCATATGATGTCAGAGTTGTCCTTGTCACCGACCCCAATTCGGGCTCACACGTCAAGGACATGCTTGCTCAGTGGATCCTCTCAGCATGATGGATCATCCATCCATTCTCATCTGGGTTCCCTACTTCCTAGCTAACCACAGAAAAGGGAGGACTTTTTGCTAGTTGAGGAAACAGCTCCTCCATCAGTTCCAGCAGCGCAGCCCCACCAAGAAATATTGGCAGAGGCTGCAGGGTTTTGAACCTTTGACAGTTAGGTCAGCATCTCCTTGCACAAAACCAATGCCCCCCTCCCCCAGTGTCCAATACAAAGATGCAAATTATTTTTATAGAACAGTCATGTACTTTCGTGTGATCTAATATTAGCTGCGCTGTATATAATTATTTTATGTAGTACTCTGCGTTCTGGTTGCACTCCCATCGATATGTCTAGTAGATATTTGTAGTTCCCTAGTAATTTAATAGCTAGTTTGTGCCCTAAAGCATAAAAACATTTCTACCCTATCTAAAGTAACCGTGGGTGGTGTTATCCATATAAAATCTTTGAGTCCTAATGAGCTTTTGTTCTCAAGTTATAACCCAAAAATACATCACCCGGCTGTTCCGTTCTCTGCTGAAGATCCTCACTATGATGTGAAAGGAAAAGAAATTAAAACTTTAGATAAATGTGTTTGATCTGCCACAAAGAGGGAAAAGACACCCCTCTGTATTGTATCTTGTTGGGATTTTTTCATGACCCATTTTCTGTTCATTGGTAAGTGCTTAAAGGCTGAAGAGAAGCTACATGTTTGCAAACCCTGAGCTGGAGACAGCTGTGGTCTGAGGTGTTGAGGCTGGAGCAGCATGCTGGCCCTGCTGCCCTGCAGCAATACCACAATAGCTGCTAGAGCCTGGACATGATGCTGCAAAGCAGTATGATGCTTGAGGTTCCTAAGAGAAAAAGGCAGCAGACTCCTGTCTCCTTGCAGAGATGCTGTTAGGGGACACCCTACCCTTCCGTCTGGGGAAAAGATGATTCTGGGACATGCTGGAGAGAGCAGGTCTCTCAGACAAGTAAAGCCCATCTCTTGGCCACCCTGAGGATTTGTTTCACCTTCACAACAATCTTGGTACTGTGAGTAATGTGGACTATGATGATGCCAGTGTATTCCCCTTGCCTCTTCCTTAACTCATCTTTATTTGCAGCCGTGGATGCAGGCCAGAGCCAGGCGCTTACTGGGAGCCAGGCTCAAGCCTTCCTTGGCGTGCCCACCTCTGCTCTTTAGGAGAGGGTACAAGCTGTACAATGCATCATCTGTTATGCAATGATACTCAGCATTGTGTTCTGCTTTGCTTCCCTGTGGTAAGAATACATCAGCCCCCTCTTCCCCTCCTCTCCCATCCCCTAGCCCCATTCATCCCCACCACTCGCTGTTTACTACCAAAGCCCTGTAAGTGAGGAGCACCTTGGTGCACAGCAAACCAGCCATAGGGATTACAGTATTTTGGCCAGGGGAGGAGGCATGCCAGGGAGCCAGCTCATAAGAGAGATTTTTTTGGGCCAGTTTCAGTTCTGCCACCACTCTCCTGGAAATAATTGCTCTTAACTGCTTACATCAGGTCTGAATGCGCCTAGCCCTTCTTTCTATTACATGTGGTTATTTTACACTGAAAATAAAATAAAAAGTGTGAGAAATATCACAGAGGAAGTTTAACATCCCAACAGAAACAGAAAAAGTACTTTACCATCTAGGTAGCAAAAAAAGTCCAAGATAAAATCCCTGGATAAACATCTCCTGAAATACCACAGAAATTTGTACCCAATTCTGACCTTAGAGGTAACACCCATCTCCAAACACAGAAGAGAAAGTGCCTCAGAGGATGAAGCCTGGCTGCTTCATCAAGAGTGAACAGCAAGTCATGGATATTCAGCTAGGAAGCAAACAATTCCTTATCACATCAAAGCAAAAGGCAGAAATGCCAGCAAATCCTGTCTGCTTCGTTCAAAAGAGATTTTGTAGTATCTATGCTTGGAAACAATGAAACCTAGATAGAGTATTAGCTGTCATTAGAAAGTAAATGAAGGCAGTGGGAATTAATTCTTCCACTCACAGTTCAGAAAGATTTTGGCATTCAGCATTATCTGTAAATCCCAGAAGTAGCAATCAGCAGGTAATCTGTTCAGTGTAACTAGATAGTCCCATCACATATAAGGATTTAACAAGTGCATCACCCCAGAGAGAGACCAATTACAAGATAATCAACTTCCTCCTTCCTTGACTCTGGGGAAAAATTTAATAAAATTGCAATCCAATCCTTGCCATACCACACCTTACAGAGCCCCTTTCCCAGTTACTTGAACTAACCAGAAAGATGTGAATTGGGCGTTGGTGAGAAAACGACTGTTTTGCAAAATAAACAGCACAAATATTTGACTATGGAAAATCTGTTCATTTCACTGTTTTGGTAGGAAAAAATCAAGACACCGTGTCATAGATAACAGCCAAGTAATCATCACATTTCTTTGATTAGCTGAAGGAATAAGGCTTAAGATTTTCTGAGTTTAGAGGAGTACTGACTTAAACCAGCGTCTCAGGTGAAAACTGTTGACAACCCAAGAAATATCCCCATTCTCTCAGAAAAAGCCATCCTGAACCTCAGAAACCTACAGGAAAAGTTCATTGAAATTGTCAATATAATAGAGAGAAATTCCTGTGTCAACAAACCATTTTTTTTCTATCCTGAGAATACTTTTTGTATACACTCCCTGTAAGCGTAGCTACTTCCAGCATGTACTTGTTGTACTTGGACAGAGGTCTGATGAGCTGTTTGGGCAAATACTGTGAGGAAAGGGCTCAGCTGCAAACATTTGCACCAGGGCAGAGGTCTTCTCTTCTCACGCTGCCCTTGAGCATGTTTAACATTAATCCACATTACCTGAAAAAAAAAAAATAATATCTGGGATACCCAGGAGCCAGGAGAAGAGCTGAATATTCACCTCAAATGTAAAAAAAACACAGAGAAAAACCCAACGAACAAACCTAAAAAAGCTCCAACCCTCCCAAAAACCCACATAAGAATGTCTCTAATACCACCACACATGACTGCAATACATTTGTGCCTGCAGCACTCCTCTCCAAGGGTGCTAAGGCTCAGGGTGAAAAGCTCCTGCAGCCCCACTCTTCCCACCCAGCAGCTTGCCGCCTTCTGATGAACTGCCAGGTACTTGCCAGGGCCCAGGACCTATACCTCCAACATCTCTTCCAGCACCCAGGTATGCAAACCCAGCTCCATTAGCAAGCAAAAGGACCAAAAAATACACTTCCCTTATCTCCCACCCATTTCTCCCATTGCTCTCCCTCAGTATATTTTAGCAGGGAAGTTAAAGAAGGCATAGCAGCTGAGACACTGAATGACAGCCATACAAGCACAATTCTAGAAAGGGAGTGAATAAGTAAATTGTGTTCATCCCTTGCATCCTGCAACTTCTCTGTCTGCTGCTCTTGGCCCTTTCTAATTTCTTGCTGTCTCACTCACTCCCCCTTTCTCTCTTCCTGCTTCTTTCTCTCATACTTTGGCACTGCAGCTTTAGTCTCCTTTATATTTGGGGGAGTGTATTCTTTGTTGTTCTCCTCCAAACGCACTCTACTCCCTTTTCAAATCTCTTACAAACACCTATCTTCTACAGATATTAACATCACCTCTCCTTATTATGCCAAGCTGCTCTGCTTTGCTGTGTTTTGCTTATACTGCACCTCTCTATTTTATAGAACATTTATGACACCATGTACATAATACATAACCAAGCATTTCAGCATGGAAGCAATTGCCTCTTACATTGAAGTAAATCTGGAATTGACAGTTCTAAAATGCTTATAACTGCAGGACTGTCTTTCATAGACTCACAGATTTTAAGGCCAGATGGGACCATTAGATCATCTAGTCTGAGCTCATCTGAAAACCTGCTCTGGTTCTTCCCTAATAATGGGTGTCCATGCGATGCCATCAGGACTTACCAGCACAGCATCCCAGGATCCGTATTTCAGTTGTCACTATGCACAGTGCAGCCAGCGTATCAGCTGCATGAAGCATCCTTCCAACCTCCGAACCACCGAGGCACACAGCAACTATTACCTTCCTCTGAAAATCCTACTTGCACAAAGGAAGCAGGGAGGTAAGAAGGGAATATAAAAGGGAAATTTGCCTTTTTAGCAAAAAGTCTCTGAAGTAGTTTTCAGAAAAATCACATATACCATTTTTGTCATTCCTATTGCAACACAGCTTAAATTTAAAGTACAAAAATAAATGAAAACCACAAACAGTTCCTGCACAAAGAAGCTAATTTAAATACAACAAAATAAAAGGGCCTGTGCACTACTGCCTGTGTCCACACTCCCCACCAATTACTTGCCATGTTTTATATTTCCTTAAAATTTTATTTTTCACCTTTTAGTATTATTAGTGTTGTGTATTTCCATTATCAGATAGCTCTGAAAACCTAGATAATTTATTTACACAAAGCTCTCTAGCTATATTTAAAAAGCTGGCAGAATTTCTTGCATTTGGATAACTCGGGTATATAAATAGGGTTTTGTCTTCAATAAATCCTTATGCCTTACATGTACAAAATAAAACACAGAGAAAAAGTCAAAGATCAACCAAACGCCCAGAACTTACACTGAATTAGAGAACATAGTAAATTATCTAATTCAGGCTGCATATAATGGGAATTTACTAGCAATTTATCTGTATGTCCCCATAATTTCAGTATCTCCCAAGAAGATGCAGCAATTTTCTTGTTTGCTTCCAGTCCACAGGTTTTTGTGTGTAGGTGTGTTTTAATGCTTTTCCCCATTTCTGGTGTGCATATCTGCATGAGAATATGCACAGTTATCATCTTTAAAAGGCTAACTTGAGCATCTGAGTTTTAAATGGAGTTCTCAAAGGGATAGATAATTCATACTTCATTCCTTGACTGTTAACTGGATTGGAAAAGTACAAGTAAAACCAAATTATTTTTGCCAGCTGATTTTCAGAAAAATTTACACGAGCCAATATGCAAATTTCTTAATGAAATCCATCCTGGGAATTTATTAAATTGTTCATACTGAAGAAAATTACTTGCATTTACATTGAAAAGTGAAATACTCCATCCTGACCTATATATGTGCTTGCCAAGATTCTATCTCTACTATACTCAGGGTCTTTACCATGCTATCACCATGAAGAAGAGTAATTTTTCCTCTTTTTTTTTCTTTCTTTTTTTTTTTTTTGTTAATAAAAGTTAAATAATAGGCACTGCCAATAGCCATTGTTGACCCGAGTCAAAAGTGTTTGAAATTAATTTATCCGCTTTGGATGGTGTATAAATTTCTCATTACGAGTGTCAGTGATGGACAAGAAACCATTCCAAAAAATGTATTGGGTATCATGCCAAACTCTGTAATCAAGGTCTCTTGCAGAGACTCTGGAGTATACAAAGGGTTTCACACAGTCAGGAGTGTTAGCTATGCATGCTTTCCCGTTGCCTGGGCTCAGCCAAATACTCTGTGAGAACAACACGTATATACACTTTGTTTTATTATGCCTCGCAGATGCTTTTTTGTTTTATATTTCAAGCTTTGTCAGGTCTAATGTTTGTTCCTTCTTCATCCTTCAGCCCTCACTGTTCCCCCTGCACCACCCCCCTAAATTTCAGAACAGCTTCCTAGACAGACCTGGTATCGATTACATAAACTGACTTTCTTGGAAAGTAAAAGAGGGATCGGGGGGTGGACTTGGGATTTCTTCTACTTGCAACCGAAAATGGCAGCAGTTGAACAGATCTGGTCAATGACAGTAAGAGAATAAGCCCAGCAGAAAGTGGTAATATATTGTGTTACATTTATGCCAACTTGCCAAGTCAAGTTCTTTTTCTCAAGCGCATGTACAGTTTGTTCTTGCTATCCTCAGTTAACTCTGCTTTCTGAATAGAGGAGATGGGAACCGCTCAAAGGCCACAATAGCATGTTCTACTTAAGGTTTCCTCTCCACACTAACCATTGTGGATAGCACTCTTTACAGTCAAGCGCTCTTGAATAAGAATGCTCTCATTAAGGATATGAAGCTATGTTTTCTTTACCTTGCAAGAATTCTGCAAAATGAGATTTTCCTCATTACAGGCAAAGTACCTGCTGCTAAAAAAGCAGCACAAAGTTGGCTCAATTTCCTCAAATGAATCTGAAGCTGTCTTCAAAACTAGCAGCAAAAGAGCATCAAAATGACAATATTGTACAAGAAATGCATCAGGAATGACTGATTAATCTATGTTTCTATGGGAACGTGAGAAATGACATCTTGGATCAGATGAGTGGCCTGTTTAGTCCAAGATATTCTGTCAGCTAATACCATACACTGCAACAAGCAAAGGCTTAGTGCCCTGTAAGAAACAACTATCACCAAAACCCTAGAAAACACAGGTAGGGCAGCTTGACAGCAAACATGAGTTGATGCTCTGAAGCAGGTGGCCTAAGATGTGTTTTGTAACAGCAGCATGAAGAAAAAAAAAAACAAAAAAAAACTTGCAAAAGCAAGTATCATTTTATTATTATTTTTTTCCATCACTGAAGCTTGGTAACACTCCCTTTCTTAAGCAGAGATTTTCAGACAGGGGTGTCTGCCAAAGGCTGGGTCATTTAATTTCAAAATTTGATCCAAATTTTCATTGGGGTTTGAGGTTGTGGGGTTTTTTTTCCTTCTCTTTGTTTTAATGAGGAACATAAAAACCACATAAATTCTTCAATATTATGCATTAGAACCACCATGATGAAGCCTCGTGTAGCAGGCAAGTTTTTTTCTTCACAAAATACTTCTTAAAAAGCAGACTATGTGAAAATTATTACCAGTCCAAGGAAGGACAAGGATGGATCTTTGATTCAGCCAGCTATTCAGAGTACAGCAACAAATTCTGCCAGTGCAATGTATTTATTGCAAGCAGTTTTCAAATATAATAAAAATCTGAAACTAGCAGGGAAATCCAGGTACCAAGATATTATGGGATACAGTAAAGTAAGATTAAATATGGTAAGGTAAAATAATAGTAATAACTATTTTGTCCATGGATAAAATGTGGCTGAATTAGTAGCAAAGTCATTCATTGTAATTGGGGAGGAAATTCATGAGGGAAAAAAAGACCCCAATCACAATTTGCACATTTTCCAATCAAATTTTATATTTTTTCCTCACATGGTTCTTCTCCCCAAAGGAAATCATTCCTAAAAACTGACCATTACAAGAGTTCATTCCTATGTGTTTCTGTGCCAGGAAGTAGAAAAATTATTTGTTCTCATTTTATTCACCAGATTTGAATGTTTACCCTTGTGTTCAGTCTTATGAGGCAATTTTTTTGCTGTTTGTAAAAATAACAGAAATTAAATGTGATATCTCAAAATGCATGAAAAAATGAACAGAGAAAAAATCTCTTCCTTTAGAAAAACACAGAATATTTTTACTACAAAATGTCTGTGGTCAATTCTTGCTGCTACATATGTCTCTGGCAGTCCTTATGCTTTTGTTCTTTTTCATACATTGAAGTAAAAAACAAGCCAGAAAATTCTATTAAAATGTTTTTAAAGCATGTATTTAAACCTCACAGATAAAGACATGTAAAACTGAGACTGGAGGTTATTTTCAGCAGCAACCTTAACCTCTGCAGAGACAATCTTTTAATTACACCACCATATACCATAAGAACGTATTAAACAGCGCTAAGCATTAGAATAACATAGAATAATGATAATGAAGTGGCTGGCACAGTTTGCCCATCCACATTTGCAATTAAATTAACTTTCTAGTTAAGCTAATTGTTTCTGGCATGACAATATGGAGCAGTCAGTTAAGACACAATTTCTTTAATCACGCTCTGTTTTCCTGTGTCGAACAAGAAATTGATGGAATTAGACGCTGTATTCTGTGCAATGTGGCATTTTGTGCTGGCATGAGCAAGGCAGTGCTTGCTGTGGTTCTCCGTTGAGCCCAAAAGCTCCAATTACCCTGGTTTGAGCCCCTCTGCTCTTCACCCAGAAACACAGAAAACCAGGATGATTTCCAGGGGTATTCTTGATAAGTAAAGTTCCCTTCCGGCAAGCATGAAAGCTGGAGAAGGTGGTGAGGAAATGGACAACTCACAGGAAGCCAGGAATTTATAACCCCACACTTTTACCTATCAAACTTGCTCTTTCAGGTCTCTGGCTGCTGACACTGGGTCACAGCCGCTTCCATCCTCTACTTCATGCTTGGAGTTCGTGAAAAAGCTCAGAACAGCATCCTGGTCTCAACCCTGATCATCTTAGCACTTCTAGCACCTGTGCCAATTATATAGCTCGCTTTTATTATTATTATAACACCAACACAGTAACTCAGTGGGTTAGTCATTTCTAACTCCAGGGACTCTGGGTCCACAAGGTGAGTTCGATCAGGTATTAGAGCACAGGTTAACGACTAAATTTACTCAGCTAAATATTACAGCTGGAACATTAAACCTTTCCCTTTAGTCAGGAAGGAACTAGCATCTATAAAAATGGTAGTTATTAGCCACCATACAGCATCTCCAAATCTATACTACAGATACTGAGACCTGTTCTCTGGTTACCTGTGTGAGAGGCTGATGCAGTTACACAATGGCCATATTCCAGAGGGAAATAGCAGCACTGGACTATGCCATGCCTCATGTCTCACTCCACTTTTTGCATAAGCATTTTTAAGAATTCAGATATTAGCAGTTTTGCTAGGAGTAAAATACACATATTTGTTGGAAAGGAATTTGGAGTTTGACTTCAGTGTTGTCTTAAGACGGAACAGTGGTCTGATGCAATGTCTTCAATTAGAAGTGAAAATTTTTTCCAAAATTCTTTTTGCATAAATTATTCATTAAATAAAATCCACTTTATTTCTCTTTTCCACACCTATTCAATATCAAAGAAAAGGGAAGAAAGAATCCTGAAGTTTTCCTAAATTAATAACTTTTAATAAAAACACCAAAAAACTAGAAGTCTTTTTGCTCCTGCAGAGCATGAATGATTTACAGGGGAAAATAAAAAACAAAAAAACTACCTCTAAATTTTTCATTTAAGAAATATAATGTTCTCCAAACAGATCTCACCATCAGCACTTTTGGAAACAGATGAAGGGTCAACCAGTAATTAGAGGGCCACTTGAGAACTTCAGTTACGTTCACCCAAGAATTCAACCTAAATGCCATACAGCTGCTGCCCACCTGTTCCTGCAGTGTGCGTATGCACCTCAGTAGCCTTCATCCATACACCTGTAAGAAAGCATCACAGTGGGATTGACCAAAACTTGCTGAAATCATTGAGTAAAAGAACTGTTTTTCATTTGTACTAAATACAAATAAACATTAAGCTCATTTATGGAGCAAAATAATCAAAACAATGGAAGAACAACCAAAGCATAAACATATGGGAAGTCTGGAATGAAAATAAGCCCTGGAGCCTAGACGTTTAGGACCTTGATTGGTAGCAGAATGGTTGTTTTGGATGTTTGCAGGAGAATCTCCAATCAAAAGCCAAAAGGAAGCATCAAAAAGAGCCACAAAAGCATCAACAGCATGACTTTTAGATAAATCTTACGGAAGCTATTGAGCCAAGTGTTGACTGAAATAGACTAGGAATTGCAAGCAAGGGAATTATCGCCTGTTTGACTCTACTTACAGATACAGAAACCAGGACTTTGTAAATAAACAGGATTGCATCAAAGATAAATGAATCAATCATCAATTGCTCTTCTTCAAACTCTGGGCTACCTGTAACAGGGTTAAAGACAGAAAACCCCCACGTTCTGGTTTCCAGGAACAAACCCCGTGAGCTGGTATCT